GGCAAAAGACACTTCACAACAGCATACACAGTCACAGCGGAGTAGATGTGAGAATTCAGGTAACTTGGGCCAATCAGTGGGCACACAGTAGGTGTTCAAAATACACTAGTTCTCTTCCCTCCACTTTCTGAATTTCCAATTTCCCGCCTGAGTCCAAATAACAAATTCAACGATACTTCCTGAGCGCTGGTGTACAGATGAGACTTGACTCTAACAGTGGTTTGTTGGATTTCGGGGTCTTTGTCAGAGGCCCACAGAAAGAAAAGAAGCAGCCTCCCCTCTCTTGAAATGTTAAAATATGTTTTTGTCCTATCGACAGTTCTCTCTGTTCTGTCCCTTTAAGGAAAAGACCCTGAATGAGCGGCTCACCCCATTAATGTTAAAGGCTGTGAGTTTTTCAGTTCTACTGAACTCGGCATGACCCTCGCAGACAGTAATTGCTTTAACATAGGGTTAGGCAACAGCAACAAACTTGTCTAAAAATAAGCCGGGGCTTAAAATACAACTTAACCTGGGAGATTTAAGTAGGTAAAGAAGATGGCTTCTCTCTGGAATTGCTTCTTGATTAATCACCCCATCTGAGGCTGTAGGAAAAATGACAGTTTTCAAACGGGGCTTTAAATGTCTACCGTTCTACTTTTCCATACTGGCAGGAAGCCAGGCCCTGCAAGCCATTGGTTCTTAAAGGGGACGGGTTCCTTTGGATTTTCCTGAGCCGCAGCTCAGGAAGACAGTGGGACAGTAATGGACAAACTGATGAGAGTTTCCATGCTCTTCACTGAAGATTTGTCCATCTTCAGGACAAACTCAAGGAGTAGCTGTGGAACCTGGAAGAGGGAAGAAGCAGTATCTGGGGGTATTTCCAGCGGTGCTCAGGGCTCAGGTCAAATAGGCTTCCGTGTGTCCACTAGCTTCTTTCCGGTCACATTAGCCAATATCTTTCATTGTACGATTGCCCCAGTATTTTATTGACTTGTCTCTAGTCAGTCCTCTGTCCTTCCTGCTGGCCTCTTGTCAATCCCAGGGTTTTTCCCAGCCATCACTTCTCTGAACATCCATGCCTTGAGTTTGGGAACCTTCAGTTTGCAGCCAGTCTGGGGATCACCTCCCGTTCACAGTTGTACCTCTGTCCCAAATGAATTTATGCATCATTTGGGTTAGAGTCTTGCTTCTCCACCACACCTGCTGGGCACCCATAGCATCACTGGAAGATACCAGTGGCCAGTCTCCTTGTCTCCATGTCCTTCTATTGGACAAGCTGATTTCTGCCCTCACCTCACCCTGGACGTAGTCTCTGTGGGCTTTAGGTAACTTAGGCTTTATCACCTAGGCCTAAAGCATGCCTCCAACTGGTGGGATTTTTAGACAAGTGTTTCATCTTGGCCTTGGGAAAGAGATTCTTACCTAAAAGAGTTTTCTTCCTGGCTTGAAACCAGATAAGCTCTGTAACAAGGATATGCTGGCTTAGTGCTTTTCACATTGTATTCTTCATCCAAACCCTAGAGCTCTGCAAAGGATTCTCTAGGGATTTCCCACTTGGTTTCAACTAGAGTGGTTCTATTCTGGCCAGTCTTGTATACTGTATTGGAGGAGTTCCACCTAAGATTGCCTCTTTTGCCTGTAACATTCATCTCAAAATATCTGCATAACTTGCTCTTTCTCTTCCTTTGTGTCTATGGTTCAATTTTTCTCCACAACCACCCTACATAAAATGGCAACACTACCTTCCCCAATTTCGTACTTCCTTCACCATAGTATCTAACGTACTATATAGTTTTTATGGTGATTCATGCTCCCACTCATTTTTGTTATGTTTAGTACCTCATCCCTTGCACCTCAAATAATGTGGACATGTAGGAAGTGCTCAATAAACATTTGTCCAATAAATGAATAAATTATACTTACAGAAAGAGTCTCAGAATTCTAGGGTGTTATGTCTTATCATAAGTCAAAATGACTTCTTGCTGGAATCATTTTCCTTCTTTCTTTTTATTTTATTCTAGTCAAAAATTTTATAGCCAATTTCACTTTTTTGGGGGGTAGTGCAATGTATTTCTTTTGAGTTTTAAGACACGTATAGATTTGTGTAACCACCACCACCATCACAGTCAGGGTACAAAATGATTCCATCATCTCCTCCCACCCCCAAACTTCCCACGCTGCTCAAATGAAGTCACATATTATCCCCCACCCTAACCCCTGGCAACCATTGATCATTATAGTTTTGTCTTTTTGAAAATATCAAATAAATGAAATCATACAGAATATAACATTTTCAAACTGTCTTCTTTTAGTCAGCATAATGTCCTTGAGATTCATCCATGTTGTTGTGGGTAGTAACGGTTTGTTCTTTTTCATTGCCAAGTAGTATTCCACTGTATGGATGTACCACAGTTTGTCTAAGCATTCACCCACTGAAGGACATTTGAGTTGTTTCCAGTTTCTGGTGATTATGAAGAGATGGTATAAACATTTGTGTACAGGTTAATGTGTAAACCTAAGTTATCAGAGCTCTAGGGTAAACACCCAGGAGTGGGATTACTGGACCATATGATCAATGTATATTTAGTTTCATAAGAAACAACAAACCATTTTCCAGGTCTACCATTTTGCATTCCTAGCCTTAATGCATGAGAATTTCTAGTTGTTCTGCACTCTCAGCAACACTTGGAATTGTCAGATTTTCTTTTTTTTCCCCTTCCTTCTCTCTCTCCTCCTTCCTTCCTTTGCCATTTAATAGGCATGCAGTGGTAACACATGGTGGTTTTAATTTGCAAGTAGTAGTATCTCTTTCCCTAATGGCTAGTGATGTTGAACATCTTTTCTTGGGCTTATATGCCATCCATTATCTCCTCTTTGGTAAAGTGTCTATTTAAGTCTTTTACCATTTTTAATGTGATTGAATTTTAAGACTTTTTTTTTCTTTTTAATTTAATTTTATTATGTTATGTTAGTCATCATACATTACATCATTAGTTTTTGATGTAGTGTTCCACGATTCATTGTTTGTATATAACGCCCAATTTTAAGACTTTTAAAAAATATATTCTAGCTTACAAGACATAATGTCATTTGCACATATTTCCTCCCAACCTGTAACTTGTCTTTCATTTTCTAAATAGTGTCTTTGATAGAGCAAAAGTTTTTGATTTTAATAAAGTACAACTTACCTTTTTCTTTTCTTTTATAGATTGTGCTTTTGGGGTCATATCTAAGAACTCTGCCTAATTCCAGGTTATGAATGTTTTCTCCTATGTTTTCTTCTGAAAGTTTCATAGATTTGAGCTTTACAATTAGATCAGTGATTCATTTTGAGTTAATTCTTGTGTAAGGTATGAGGTTTAGGTCTAGGTTTATTTTTGTATTATCACATTCCTTTATTTTGCAAGTCTAATTGTTCTAATGCTATTTGTTGAAAGGACTATGTCTCTTTGTTGAATTGCCTTTGCACATTAAGAAAAAATTGGTCATACTGTATGTTCTATTTTGAACTTTCTATTCTATTCCATTGAAGTATATATATCTATCCCTTCACCAAAACCACATTTTCATGATTAATGTATCATTATAGCAATTGTTAAATTCAAAGAGAATCAGTTCTCCAACTTTGTTATGGAATAATTTTCTAACTGCTGTCATCTTGTGCTCCAAAAGGAGGAGAAAGTAAAGAGAATAATCTTTTATTGAGCACTGTCTATGTGACAGACAGTGGACCATGGAAATTTACTGTATTTTAATTTTTAAAACAATGCATTTCAGGTGGGTATTATTTTACCATTTCTGAAGATAAGAGAACTGACCCTCAGAGAATTTTAATAACATACCCAAGGCTATGTAGTTAATATGAGACAGAGCCAGGACTTAACCCCAGGTCAGACTGACCCTCAAGCTCGCAACCTTCCTACTACACAATAGTTCATGTCAACTCTTCTGGATTCTGGAGGTATGGAATATGCCTGAGGATACCTTGAATCCTCTGCTGGATTTAATTTCAAAAGAATTTCAAAAGAAATCATTTATGTTTAAAGAAAAAACCCTCTGTGATTTCCCAAAAGTTATTTTGTTCCCATGGTTGAGATGCAAACATATTCTTATTTATACAGTCTGAACAGAAGGTTTAGTTTGGCCTCTTGAAAAACAGTGCTGAGTTAATAATCTAAGAGTAGATTGTCACACTGGCTACAGGAAGATAAATAATCAAGGATTCTAAGTCTTTAATTTAATATAACTTATTCTCATTAATTAAATGCCAATTACCTGCTTGTCTTTCCTGGGAACTGGCCTTTGCAATTAATCTTTTCAGAAACGTTGTACACACATGCTCACAGAGGTATTAATATCACTCTCAAGATTTACAGGCACTGGACTCTTTGGCTTAAACCATCCTCAAACACTCTACACTGTAACCGCAGATAATCGTCATAAATTTCCTGATCTTTGACCTAACTGGTTCTTAAATTTCCATTCCCTAACGGGCTTGAGGAGTTCATATTTATCATACTGAGACGCTTACTTCTAAGGATCAACGCATTCCAGCAAGGCTTGGATTTCAGATCTCTGACCCATCTTCCTACTGGGGTTTTTGCTAGTCACAGCAGATAAGACTCCTTGGGGACTAAGAGAGTACTCTGTCCTCTGACTCCCCTGAGCGAAATCATTCATTCACAGACAATATAACCTTGCAGAATACCTTGAGCAACTTGACCCCTTAGAAGCCTTTTGAATGCCCCACCTGTACTGATGTAAGCATTCTATGGCAGCACATATCCACTGCTGGGAATACTCCCATTCCAGCCTTTAGCAGCTGCCTGTAAGTATCTGCACTTTTTATTAAATTTCTTTTCCTCTAGACTGCTTATTCCTTATGCTTGTACATAATTATACATTTTATGGGTGCTATAAATTTAAGTCTTGCAAGTGACTGGTGGTTTGCTTCGCAGAGCTAGTCTTGAATGTGTGCCTTCTAATTCCTTATTTCAGCTCGACAAAACAAGGAGACAGAGGAAGAAACCAAATTTATTGAAGGAAATCTCAGTTTACTTGCAAACTCAGAGTCACAGCTTCCTGCATCTGATCAGCTTCCATTCTTTCTTTAACATTTCAATTTCAGTGCCCAGAATACAATTATCTCCATCTCAATCACTAGTTGAATGTTCTTTTTCGTTTGCTTATTTTTTAATTTGAAATAGTTACACATGCACATGCAAAGTGAATTTAAAGAGTGTAGAAAAGTACAAGGGAAATAAGTCATAAATCAACCTTTGGAATATATAAAAAGTCTAATAATTGATTTGATAATGGTAGCACATATGTGCCAGGCACCATGCAAAGCTCTTTGCATCCATTTTCTCACTGACTTCTCTCAATAATCTTATGAGATCAGTACTGTTATCACTCTCATTTTATTCTATTTTATTTTTATTTATTTTTTTAAGTAGGCTCCACACCTGGCATGGAGCCCAACACAGGGCCCAAACTCACAACCCTGAGACCAAGACCTGAGCTGAGATTAAGAGTCAGATGGTTTACCAACTGGGCCCCCCAGGTGCCCCATCACTCTCATTTTAATGATGAGGGAACTGAGGCTCAAAGAGATTAAGAAATTTGATCAAAATCTCTCAGCTAGTGAGTGATAGAATCCTATCTTGAACCAAATCTGTCTGACCCCAAATCCCATGTTCCAAAAATGATACTAAAGGGCGCCTGGGTGGCTCAGTTGGTTAAGTGACTGCCTTCGGCTCAGGTCATGATCCTGGAGTCCCGGGATCGAGTCCCGCATCGGGCTCCCTGCTGCTCAGCAGGGAGTCTGCTTCTCCCTCTGACCCTCCCCCCCTCATGTGCTCTCTCTCTCTCATTCTTGCTCTCTCAAATAAATAAATAAAATCTTTAAAAAAAAAGATACTAAAAGTGTGAGCTATTCACCACCATTATCATCTCAGATTCATCTTTTCAACCATATGCCTTGTGACCTAGCTTAACCATGTAACTAAAAATCCATCTATTAGGAGTCTTTATTGTGGGCAGGACCAAACATCTTGTTAGAGATCTTCATAGCTTAGCTTGTACAATTCATTCCTTGAGTTTGACCAATCCATTTCTCCAATTTGTAGGAAACAAGGAAAACTGAGCTGGGGATTTCTTAATAAGTCATTATCCTTATATGTAAACATGGCACTATGTTTCTCCTATCAGCACATCAAGGGCTATAAATTATTGTAGCTTTTTTTCCCTTTAGTAGCAGAGATAAGATTTGCCTCAATTCACTTATATTCTTTGAACCAATCTCCATGGTCACACCAATGAGTTATTTTAAGGTGCTAGGGCTGAAACTGTGTGGGGCTTTGGATAAGAATAATGAATACTCGTCCCCATTAACACACTACTCTGACCTAAACTCAATCTATTCCACTCATTTGTCAAAGGGGTAGCAGCTTTAGGTCTTATGTGACCCTGGCTACTGCTGATTAGATCAGGGGTATGCACATGACCTAGGGTAGCAACTCAATGACTAGGAAGAAGCTGATCAGATACTATTTTTTTTTCCTGAGCATCAGAAAAAGGATCCATGAACAACTACTCCTGAGGCACCCGGAGATTCCTGGCTTGTCCCCTCCCCAGGCTTCCCTATTTTTTCTATTTATTATGTCTGCACCCTTTAAACTGCAGCTACCCACCCCTCTGCTTTTTGCAAAGTGAACTGGAGGGGGCCTGGGTGGCTCAGTCGGTTAGGCATCTGCCTTTGGCTCAGGTCATGATCCCAGAGTCCTGGGATCGAGCCCTGCATCGGGCTTCCTGCTCCGCGGGAAGCCTGCTTCTCCCTCTCCCACTCCCCCTGCTTGTGTTCCCTCTCTTGCTGTGTCTCTCTCTGTCAAATAAATAAATATTTAAAAAAAAAAACAAAAAACAAAGTGAACTGGAGTGAATTTTGGTTCCTGGAAATCAAATATCACTTGGACAAGAGAGACATATTAAACTTTTTAAATATCAGAAATAGCTCTTTGGAAGTACATATGAGTAAAGGTCTACCAACTAAAAAGTGTAAGATGGTATGTATCAGACTTGAAAGAGTTAACTTCCCACAAAGAACTAAGGGGTTGACTTCCTTCTCTTCAGTTAGGCCCAGATTAATTTTGGTTGGTTGCAAATGGCGTTTTTATTCAGGAGGCATGGGACATATGTGATAAATGTGAGGACTATCATATGTCTTATAAAGAGCTAATTGTTTGTGAAAGATGCTCTCCCAGTGACACACACACACGTCTGATATACACTAGCTGCTGGCTCTTCTATAACAATTTCATTATACTATCCACCCTTACACCAGAACATAATGTGACAAAGCAAAGATTGTCTTCTTTGACCTTGGCGGGATCTGGAAACATTAAAAAGAGATCAAATACTCTAATAATTGATTTGATAATGGTAGCACATATGTGCCAGGCACCATGCAAAGCTCTTTGCATCCATTTTCTCACTGACTTCTCTCAATAATCTT